TTAGTATATATATTGTTACTAAACAACAAAAGAGCTACAAAACATACAAAATAAGAAAACACCGTAAATAAAAAAAAAGGTTTACTGTTATTTAGTTTGGTTCAAAACCTACAAAAACTTCATTGCTTTCATTGTAATTTATTTTGTTATTATTTATGGAACATTATAAATAGTTATGTTTTAAAAGAAAAAAACTACTATTGTTATAAATAACACATTCAATTGAACTAAACTGTGAATGGCTATTTAAACATATTTACACATGGCTTGTGTATATTGTATATATACATATATATTATTCATACCTTTGGTGTATAGGACGCAAGCAGATTTTGACATCAAATTTTGGGGTAAAAAGTGCATCTTATACACTGAAAAATACAGTAAATTGTTTCAAAAACAAAATCTGCATGATCTCTCTTGTAGCACGAGACTCTGGTGACTCGGTTGCTTGTTTGACTTGTCAGTTTTGGATAGTGTATAGTTCAACTCGAAAAGTATATGTATTGTACTGAATAACTATTCTTCTCCATTGACAACTGTCTTCTTACATCTTTATATAAAATACTTTGGTCTCTGACTCTGTCTACCTATTTAGACACGATTTGGGACTACAATTAACCATGTGCTTGGCAGCCCAGGTGTATTTTAAGAACCTGCCCTTTGTTGAAAGTTGATACTTTTCTGTGGACCAGCATATTATGTATGAAATTATTCAAGGGGCCAGATCAGTTAAAAAATATTGTACAGATTTTGATTATGATTTATTGATGCATAAGTTATATTGTGTCTTGTTATAAAGTAATCCAAATTGTTGGTATTTCTAGCTACAGGAAAAGCTGATTACATGGAAGAAAGATCTCCACACACCACATTGAAGTTTCGTACATTAAAAGAGGAGAAAGAAGATATCTGTTATGGAGGTACAGCGACAACTGAGGTAATTTTTAGATTAAACTTTTACAGTTGTGTTATTCAAGAGAATATGTGGCTCATACTACCAATGTTGACAAGCTAGTATATAAAATAAGAACCTCTTATATTTCCTAGTTGGTAAGATATCAGTTATGTACTGAATCAAACACAGTGGCCCCTGCCTATCTCTTTCCAATTTTTGAAAATGCTTCCTTATATATATATATATACACTTACTTCTATGTCCCTTTTTCTTCACTGATAAACTAAATTACCTTAATTATTTAAATAACTTGTTATGACACAATCATAGTTTATTATTCGAGGAACAGGTTTATACAAAAAAATTTGATTTTTTGTTTTCCAATGTAAAATATGTAACTAGCCATCACCTGCTAACTGAAAGTGTACTTGAGAAACAAGCAGACAGAGACAGACTTAACACAAACAAAAATATAGATGTTGATTACTGCGTTAATAACATTAACATAGAAAGTTATGAATCTTTTGAAATAAGAAGAAAATACATTGATTTATTACTTCCTTGAGTAGTTAGTGAATTGGAATTTTTTTAACATCTACACAGAACTTTCTTGTAACAAACATTTATATACATTTTAACCCACAAGTTTTTGTGAGAAGATCTGTGAAAGAAAGGAGACGATTATAGAGTTTGACATGTCCCCTTGTATGACTTCTTGGTGCATGTTTTTTGTGGATATCTTAAGTACTCTAAATTAAGATAAAAAAAACCATAAATAATAATGCTTGATACGACTGTATCCAGTGCATGCAGGTGATTACATCAAACTGTTAATCATATTTCTAAACCATAGAGCACAGGCCCATGAACCCATCCATCATACAACCTGTCTTTCATGTAGAAAGACAACAGCCAAATGATGGCAAGTCTCAGGAACATCTCCAGTAAGAAGATACACACAGGATGTTAAGAACTAACCACTGTCTTAATGTCAAACAAATGAAACCTTGACAGTTCCACTATATCAAAATGACCATTTTAGATAGAAGGATCAAGAGAACTGGGTGGGTACAATTATCAGTTTGATTCATTAACGGTTTCTTTTTACTTGTATGAAGTCTACTGTCCTCCATGAACCGACTGGTATTAATTGGCTAAGATAATATCACATGACACTCTTTAATTTGGAAAATTTGTGCTTAAAAGTTGGCAGTGAATAATAACCATCCACCTATATTATTATTTGAAAAATCTGAGCTAGAAACTGTTAATCTAGTTTGCTTGGCCTAACCAATAATTATGTATCTGCACACGGTTTCACACTATAGTTTTGCTGCTCTAAATCATCCGGCTTTAATCTGACTAACTGAAAACTTAAAAACATTCCTCCTTTACTGTTAGGTGAAATTGTTAAACTGATAGCTCATATGACTTTTTGGTAAAAATTGAGTGGTTTTTGTTGAATAACTTTGCAAATGTGGCTTATGTTAAACCAAATTTGACATCTATTTGTAGGTTGTAAATATCTTTCTGTGTATCAAATTTGAAAAAACATCTATGAAAGTTAAGTATGATTTTCTATCAAATAAAGTTTCCATACTTTCTTGGTGATGGGGAAAAAAAGGAAATTCAATCCAAATTGGAAGTTTTATATCTTGTTTATTTCTTAATGAATTGTCTTGAAATTTGGTATATGAAATAAGGGTACAGAAGAGCACATTCACTGAAAATATGTGATAGTTTGAATTACCACAGTCCAAGCTACAGAAGGTGGAAAATAGCTAAACTTTCACTCCTGTAAATAACACAAAGTATTTCCTGCAGGTTGTTTTGGTCACACGACACACTACCCTCAGTCTTTATAACTAAGTTTGAAGTATTAGGTTTATTAATTATATTGTCATGTTTTAATCTAATTAACTGTGGAGACAATGTGTAATGATAACACTAACTGTTATTTTTATTGACCTTTTAAATATGTTGTTTGATTTCAGAACACATTTGTCCAAGAGAAAACAGAACAGTTTGGTGATCAGTTAGGTGATATTATTTCAAAGTTCAGTGACAGCAATGATCATGATCTGGATACTTCAAGTTATAATGATATGAATGTGAAAACTAAAACTGAATTTCAAGAAGAAATTGAATCTGTGTTAGAAAGTACATCTGGTAAGTATAAATATCTAAAACTTCAGTGCATTGACACTGGCTTAAAACATTGGTAAAATCTTGGTAATTTTTAAAAGTTATTAAACCAAATAAGACAGGATTAATTTGAAATGTATAGATTTAAATTTAGTGTCTTTTTGTTTTTTTAGTTCTACTTGGAAATTTTTTTGTGTGAGATGTTTTGAAGTGATAAAATGACAACAAAACCTTTAACGTGAATAAGGAGAACAGTAACTGTTTCTATAAAATCAAACGGAGAGAAACTAAAACTGACCAGTGTCTATCTTTCTGGTTCTTCATGTATAAACTTTTTGACTAATGGCTGGAACCCATTTCCATAGATTAATTTCAACATGTACAGAGAATATATAATTTCCATAAATGTGACTTGCTGAACACTACTAACACTATAGAATCTAGAATTTGAATGATACCAAAGACAGTAATCAAATAGCTTTTAATCACAGGATCATACCTAAACTTGATTAAAAAAAAAGTCATATATATATATCGATAAATATTTTAGTATTGTCTAAATCTTGGCATTTATAAATGTCAGAATTTAGAAGTATAATTCTTTCGCTAGTTGTCAAAATAAAAGGCTTTTACTTTCATTCTTAATAGTATAAATATATATACTGTGTTCTTGTTAGTCTTAGGATTCTTCTACAGTACGTGTCTGCAACATGTAGGTGATAAATTCAACAACAAATGAACGGCACGCACGTCTTGTTTTAAAAATAATATATATATATTCAGAACAAGTTAAACATATGTACAATAAATTATTCTTGCTACTGTGATTATAGGAATATATTGCTTTAGAATTTCAGTTGAGAAGCCAAACTATCTTCTCTATTACTATTGCACTAGTTTTCTGTGTGTGGTTCACTTACAATTATGGCACGAGCTACTATAATCTTTTGATCTTCTTCCTTTGAGATATCTTTTGTTCCTTTTGTCAAAGAACACTCAGGCAGATTCAATTACTTTAGAACCATGCTTTGATAGAATAAATTATTCTTCTTATCTTCTGTTAGTCTTACTCTTAACATATTAAAAGTTAGGCATATGTTAATCATTAGGCATATCACTTTTACAGCATTTAACTTCACGCCAAACTTTTCCTTGCCTGTAACTTTACTCTTTTCTGTCTGTCCTGCTATTTCTACTCATCTAACACTATTTATATGTTTATCACATAATCATCTGTCCTTCTATATTCTCAATGTCAGTGTATTGCACGCAATGTTTGATAGTCTTAACCCCAATCAATTATTAACAAAACTTCCTATATTCATCTGCTTTTAACCCTTAATACATCAAAAACAAAACAATAATATAACACTCACTCACAAAAATAAATTAATCAATAACATCTAAACTAAACAGTTTTTTTATAACATGACAATAAATATTTATTTATAACTTGCATATAGAACTTTTGAACAAAATGTTTAAATTATCATTGTTAATTAACATGTTTAAGTAGACAAATCATTAGAAGATTTGATGATAATTAATCACTTCAAGTTAGAAATTATTTCCAAAAGTTAATCCATAAAGGTATTAGCTAAAAGTATGTTGGATGTTGTGACACTGTACTATCATATTTCTTCAGGTGATCTTAATTTATCTAATAAAACCTCTTTTGAAAATGTAATGTTATCTACAGTTTGTTTTTAATGCTATTCTGACACAGTTATAAAAGTTTCTATAAAGTGTGAACCTATGAAAACTGCATCTTAATTAGTTTTTAGCTTTAATATTTTCGTTTTGGTATTGATCATATCAGAACATTAAATATATTTAGAAGTTCATCAAAGATGTTATTAACTATGATGAGGCATCATTTGTATCTATTTTAGATATGAAGACCTGCTGTGGGAGTCAGTGTCCTGGTAATCATGTTATAAAACAAGAAGATTACTTTATAGAAGTTAGAAATTCCCCAAAACTAAACAGTGGTATATATGAAGAATCAACTTTAAATGGAAATAACCTAAACAAATTTAGTATACCTCAGTGTAATGGTAAAACATACAGTTGTGTAATCAGTGGAAAAGAATATGGAACATTGGATAACCTAACACAAGAACAGAGGATTCAATCTGGAGAGAAACCGTATCATTTTGCAGTGAATGGAAAACATTTTGAGAGAAATAGTCCTTTAGAACAACATGAAAGAAATCACACTGGGGAGAAACCTTATAGTTGTGGAGTTTGTGGAAAACTATTTGGATCAAGCAGTAACTTAAAATCACATCAAATAATACATACTGGGAAGAAACCATATAGTTGTATAGTTTGTGAAAAACAATTTAGAACAAAGGGTAACTTAAAAAACCATCAAAATATACACTATGGGGAGAAACCTTACAGTTGTACAGTTTGTGAAAAACAATTTGTATCTAGCAATTACTTAAAATTACATCAAAGAATACACACTAGGGAGAAACCTTACAGTTGTACACTTTGTGAAAAACAATTTGTATCGAGCAGTTACTTAAAATTACATCAAAAAATACACACTGAGGAGAACCCTTACAGTTGTGCAGTTTGTGAAAAACAATTTGTATCAAGCTATTACTTAAAATTACATCAAAGAATACACACTGGGGAGAACCCTTACAGTTGTGCAATTTGTGAAAAACAATTTGTATCGAGCAGTTACTTAAAATTACATCAAAAAATACACACTGGGGATAAACCATACAGTTGTGCAATTTGTGGAAAACAATTTCTAAGAAACTGTGGTGTAAAAATACATCAGAGAACACACACTGGAGAGAAACCTTACAGGTGTGAAGTTTGTGGAAAACAATTTATATCAAAAGGTGTATTACAAAATCATCTAACGATACACACTGGAAAGAAACCTTACAGTTGCGCAGTTTGTGAAAAACAATTTGTATCAGGCAATTACTTAAAATTACATCAAAGAATACACACTGGGGAGAACCCTTACAGTTGTGCAATTTGTGAAAAACAATTTGTATCAAGCAGTTACTTAAAAATACATCAAAGAATACACACTGGGGAGAAACCATACAGTTGTGAAATTTGTGGAAAACAATTTCTTAGAAACTATGGTATAAAAATACATCAAAGAACACACACTGGGGACAAACCATACAGTTGTGAAATTTGTGGAAAACAATTTCTTAGAAACTATGATATAAAAATACATCAAAGAACACACACTGGGGAGAAACCATACAGTTGTGAAGTTTGTGGAAAACAATTTATATCAAAGGGTGTATTACAAAATCATCTAAAAATACACACTGGGGAGAAACCTTACAGTTGTCTAATTTGTGGAAAACAATTTCAAACAAACTGTGATAGAAAAAGACATCAAAGAACACACACTGGGGAGAAACCATACAGTTGTGAAGTTTGTGAAAAACAATTTGTATCAAGCAGTTACTTAAAATTACATCAAAGGATACATGCTGGGGAGAAACCTTAAAGTTGTGGAGTTTGTAGAAAATAATTTGTATCAAGCAATTACTTAAAATTACATCAAAGGATGCACTCTGGGGAGAAACCTCACAGTTGTACAGTTTGTGAAAAACAATTTGTATCAAGCTATTACTTATAATTACATCAAAGAATACACACTAAGGAGAACCCTTACAGTTGTGAAGTTTGTGAAAAACAATTTCTAAGAAACTATGATATAAAAATACATCAAAGAACACACACAGGAGAAACCTTACAGTTGTGCAGTTTTTGAAAAACAATTTGTATCAAGCTATTACTTAAAATTACATCAAAGATTACACACTGGGGAGAACTCTTACAGTTGTGAAGTTTGTGAAAAACAATTTCTAAGAAACTATGATATAAAAATACATCAAAGAACACACACACGGAAGAAACCTTACAGTTGTGCAGTGTGTGGAAAACACTTTAGGACAAAGGATTACCTACATAAACATCAAAGAGACACACTGGGGAGAAACCATACAGTTGTGAAGTTTGTGGAAAACAATTTGTGTCAAAGGCTGAATTAAAAAGTCATTTAAGAACACACACTGGGGGGAAACCTTACAGTTGTGCAATTTGTGGAAAGCATTTTGTAGAAAATAGTAACTTAAAACAACATAAAAAAAGACACATTGGAGAGAAATTTATATTTGTGCAACCTCTGTACCTCAGCAGTTAATATGAGGGCTTACAATGTTACAAATTGTGTTTTGATACCAGTAGTGACACAATGCAGATAGACCACAGTGTAGCTTTGTAACATACCATATAATATTAAAGGAAACAAGGGACTGTTTTTGTACACTCTGTGTCCACTGTAGCATTGTATGTTCATGAAAGTACTTATGTTCCACTAGAGAAGTCTACTTCATGTACTTACTTATCAGGAACTAAAATCAAGATACTAAGTATGGTTGGTAAAACCCTGAGGAAGGTGTTACTTACAAATAAATTCTCACATCCTTATCTCTTTGAAATACATCCATATCAGGAAGTAAAGGCAAGGTTTTAAATATGGTTGGTAGAAGTATTATTTATTAATAGATTATTCTATCTTATCTCTGTTATTACAATACCGCTGTGAAAGTCACTTTAAATATTGCCCATTATGGCTAAACTAACAATCATGCAGTCTAACTTCACTTTCGCTGACTTATGTTCACTTATATATACCTTGCCCACCTGAAGCATAGAATTTTCTACAAACTATGAGATGCTATGATGTAACAATACTCACTTAAGGCAACAAGAAAAATACAGAAGGCTCGAGTAGTGTGATGTCAAGTTACAACAAATGAACTACACATACACAATATATGACGTTTACATAGTGATATAACAAAATTTGTCATAACTATTACCTTTAATATAATTATTTTTAACATACTTGTTATGAATACTAAATAATCCTTAGATAATCAGATCACTAAATGAACTAAATAATAACTCTTATACTATATAGTCTTGTATAATCTAACACTTTTTCACACTACTTCTCTTGTTTGCATCATAGAGAGATGGAGACTGATCTTTTTCTTGGTATCTCAACTTGTTATTTAAAGATTTTAAAGCATTAAAAGGGTTCTGTGACTTAATCAGTTGACGAGGATCAGGATTTTGAAGGATGCTACACATATGAAGTAGGCTTTTACAGGGTTCCTTGTATTATCAGCTAATTAAATAATGTCTCCAAAATTTTGCTACTTCACTAGGGGGCTACATTAATCATGCAGCATCTGCACACCTCATGCAACTTCAGTCTCATCCATATAATGCTTATAAAAGTCTGTCAATATCTGAGCACAAAGGAAAATTCATTTGCAAGCCTTATAAATAGAGGTTTATCTGTAATGCATGAACTACTCACCACTGAAAGATGAACAGTATTCACCATCGTACACCACTTACATTTGTCAACTAATGTTAATACTACTAACATGCTTTTTACACTGATGCTCACTCGCATTCTTCTTTCTTAATTATTTTGAGCAGTGTAATGAACATAACTTACAAACCCTTGTACTAAACTGCATTTAATATCTTAAATTTATAACAAGCATGTGTTAGAAATGCTTGATTTGTTTTGTTCTTCACTTACAAATATTTATATATAAATTCCATAAATAGGAAAGAATATTTACATAATTATGGACTTACTGATAATCATGACAAACCAACTTTCCACAGCTAATTTTCAAATGGATATGCTTTATTTAGTTTATGTAGTCAGTCATATAAACTGTTAACTTAAAAAAAAAGGTGTAGGTTGAAACTTCAACCTAAAAATTATATCCTTGTGGTGTTTATGGTTGTCCTTATTATGGGAGTAGTGCAGCACTGGAACAACTGGATTCAGAAATAAAGGTGCTTTTTTTCATATCATTAAGTTAATTTCAATGCTTCTGTAGATCTTACTTATATTAAAACTGTCTTTTAATTGTACAAAAGCTTTTCTGCAGAAAATAAAAATGATTAAAATATTTCTTTGAACTGTAAAAAATACATTTGAAGTGTTAAAATATTTTGTGATGAATAATAATTTTCAGTATTGCAGTTAAGGTTGTTCATAGGTAATTTACGTAATTACATCCAGATGAAAATTACTATTCAGTTATGTAAAGATTTATTTCAAGGTGTATAACAGTCAATTATAATTTATAGTGTGTGTTACTTTTTTTTTCAAGATTAAGAAATGATCAAAAGTGAATAATCTAACTACAGATAATTAATTGTACAACTCAAAATCTTGTGATGTAGGTTATGAGCAAAATTGTAATAATCCTGACAACATTATAATTATTTCTTCCAGAAAAGATAAATAAACCACTGTTAGAAACATGGATTAATGGAACAGTTACATACTATGTTTTTTACTACTGCAATAACAGTATGTTGTTTTAAGATTGTCATGCTGATTTTGTCCTGTAAGATCTTTCATATTAGTGTAACTATGTTATTGCAAATTAAATATATTTGCAGTTTTAAAAAAAAATGTAGGTAAGTATGTGAGTGTGAATACTGAGTTTATTTATCTTTTTTTGTTTTTCATAATTAATCTTATTAAGTGAACAGATTTTTATTTGTACTTGTTTTTTATAACAAAGCCACATTATTCTATCTCCTGTGTCCACCAACAGGAATCCAACCCAGGATTTTAGCAATGTCTCACTGAAGGACAAATGAAAAGATCTTAAAAGTGACTTAGGATTTCCTTTTTTTGTGGCATTTCATTGTAACCAATAAATCATTAAATAAAGGTAATTTAAAGATGTAATGAGCAGATGTATGTTACTAGTGGGTGAAGATGACTGATTTTTATTTTCTACAAAACAGATGTTGTGTTATTAAAACAACATTTGTGATAGTTCTGTACTGCTTGTCTAGATAATTACTTTCGACATGTTTGGTAAAACACTTCTTGCAACTTATTTTCACTGTGATTATTTGATCTATACAAAGGTGGGATATATACATGTATTTGATTAATTTTCCATAAGTTATATTTTAACATGAATAGGCTGAGTTGAACCTGGCAGGTAGTGCACCATTCTATGTATCTGAGATTCCATGGTTCGTGACCTGTAATTGCAAAAAAATATAAAGATTGCCCCCAGCATTTAGGGCCATGGGTAAAATATGTGTGGTGGTCAATTCCTACTACATGGTACGACAACAGTTGGTAGTGGGTGGTGATGACCAGCTTCCTTCCCGTTAATCTGTCACCTCAAATTTGGGATGGATTATGCAGACAGCCTGGATTTAGTTTTGTGCAAAATCCAAGAAACAAACATGCTAAAATGACTAATTCATAAACTCAAATAATAAATAATTTGTTGTTAGTCTAATTATATGAATATGTTAACTGATGTAAAATTTAACATAAATGAATAATAGCTGTGATCAGCATAAATTTTTCTTTGCCTTGTGGTGTTTTTTATTCCTAACTACATGACCCATAGTAGACAAATATTTTGTTGCCAACTAGGAATTCGTTTTTTCACTACCAATGGGCCAGACTGTCACCTTTATATAAATTTCATGAAGGAAATGTAATAATATTAAGTTTAACCTAGATAAAACCCTTGTGTCAGCACAGTGAATCACTTACTCATCATAAAGTATTTCTCATAGTTATCATCTCCATGTTCGTTTTTTTTCTTGGAAATCAAATTAGCTCCCTATATCTTTATATATGTATTCTTGTACATTGACCATTATACCTGACGTGACAACGTGACGCAATTAAT